AGGAAGATCAGAAAAGGGGATGAGATTTAAAAAAAAAAAAGGAGCCATTGAGAATGTTGGGATAGAGCTCCAGAGAAGAGAGGGCCGTGAGGAGGAAGGCAGAGTTGGGTGAATAAATCAAAAGAATATTCCTAGGTTAAAGCAGACAGTTGTTTAACATTACCTTCTGATTTAACCGATGTTACAAGAAAGGATTGAAGAGTTAAAATAACTTTTCAAAAGCCTCTGGGGGGAGAAACCAAGATGGCGGCAGAGGTAAACATTGTTGATTGCTGCCTAGCACAACCACTTCAAGAATACAACTAAAAGGGAACGGACATCATCCAGAACCACAGAAAGGCTGGCTGAGTGGAAATTCTACAACTACAGTAAAAGGAAAGAGAAAAGCATACTGAGACTCAGAGGAGATGCGGTGCGGAAGTAAAGTACAGAGGTACGCAGGCGCACGTGGAGAGTGCTGGCGGCTGAGGACACGGTTGTCTTTTTCAATCGGGAGGGAGTCTCAAGCTCTGAGCTCCAGTTCTGGGAGAGTCTCTCGGGACCCAGACTCATACAGGAGAATCTGGACTGCCTGGCATCGGTCAGAACACGAGGGTAGCTTTCTCTCAGAGGTGCTTGTAGCAATTACCAGGCCACTGAGAAGCGGGGCCACTGAGGGCAGGATTGAGGAGCAGCCATAGCTGCTTGCTCCATCCTTTTGATCCCCTGGGTCCCCGCCCCACCCAAACTGTGTGCAGAGGCTTTTGCATATGAAAGGCCTGGCCCTTTGCAATCTGAAAATTACCTAACAAACTGCAGCTGGCCCAAGGCCCCATGGCAACTTGCATTGCTTCACAGCTGAGCTCCTGCTGGGTAGCCTCAGGCAGAGGCTAGATGAGCACCTCTTTAGAGATCAAGGAGCCAGTGTACCCAGTGGTCAGAGTGGGACCATCCAGATTGCAGCTTCTCGGATCCACAAGGGACACACTCAGGGTGCAGACTCAGTGAGCACCAAAGCCCCACTGAAGCAAGTCTTGCCCCAGAAGGGTGTCTCCAGCACAGAAGTTCTCCCACTGCAGACACAGCTGATTCTCACAGCCAATTGGCCTGAAGGTCAATTCCTCCTAGTGATACCCACAACAATCAAGGCTTAACTACAACAAGACCGTGCACAAAACCCACAAAGGGGTGCACCAAGAGTGTTCACATCAGGTAATTGGGGAGGCTGCGCCACTGGGCACTATAGGAAGACAAGTAACATCTGATTTCACTTACATGTGAATCTAATGAACCACAACCAAAAGTTAGAAACAAACTCATGGGTAAAAAGAATAGACGGAAAGCTATCAGAGAGGAGGAGGTTAGGCGGGCTGAGTGAAAAGGTGAAGGGATTACGGAAAAAACAAACTAACAGGCAAAAAAGAGGTTGTTTTTGACTTAGCCTGAAGCTGCATGTAGCATAACTTCCAAAGTTCTGCTTGTCTCATAATAATTTGTTACTCAAACTTTCACAGGTCAGAAGTTACTGTAAAGAAGGTCATATGCCAGTGGCCAATGTAATTTTTCTTTTAAAAAATCGCTATGGTATAAGATAATTTTGCTTGTATGATAAGCTACAGTACTTATCTTATTTGATTTTGGAAGTTGGGTCTGCAGTACTATAGTCCGGACAAATGTTTTATTTTATTTTTATTATTACTATTTTTAATTTTCACCTGAGGGTACATTTTCTTATTGACTTTAGAGAGAGAGGAAGACAGAGAAACATTATTGTGGGAGAGAAACATCACTCAGTTGCCTCCCATACGTGCCCCGACAGGGGATCAAACCTGCTACTTATGTATGCTCCCTGACCAGGAATCAAACCCGAAACCTTTTGGTGTATGGGAAGATGCTCCAATCAATTGAGTTACCGGCCAATTGTTTTAAATGCTTTGTCTTTTGTAAATTACTGTCAACACACAGACACACACACACCAGAATATGGCTTTAGGAAGATCAGAAAAGGGGATGAGATCTACAAAAAAGGAGCCATTGAGAATGTTGGGATAGAGCGCCAGGGAAGAGAGGCCCGGGAGGAGGAAGGCAGAGTTGGGTGGATAAATCAAAAGAATATTCCTAGGTTAAAGCAGACAGTTGTTTAACATTACCTTCTGATTTAACCAATGTTACAAGAAAGGATTGAAGAGGTAAAAAAAATAAATAACTTTCCAAAAGCCTCTGGGGGCTTTTCCAAGAAGGCACAAGAAAGCAGGGGTGAGGGACAACCGCTGGAGGCCAAGGAGACAAGAAGACAAGCTGGAAGTCAGGGCTGGAGTGGAAATGAGAGCAGAGTGGGAGGGCCCGGCGGTGGCAGGCACAGCTTTTCTCTGGTGCGCGATGTGGATGAGGCAGAGGTCTGGCAGTTGGAAGAGAGAGGAAGTCTCTATAGAGTGCTGAGAAAAAGGTTTGCTGCATTCAGAGAAAAAAAAACGCCAGCTTTGAGAGTCAGTTCTGTCTCCCAGGGAAATGCTCCTTTTGCCACTTCTGTTGCTCATGGTTCTCATCCCAGGTGGTGACAACGAGCCAGGTAAGAGCAGCTCTGGCCTGTCCCGGCGTGGGGGTCAGGGTCTGGGTAAAAGCATGCTGTCCATGTCCATAGTGTACGTGTCTGGGCCATGTGTCCCCAGCCTTTTCTTCTGTTCTGGGGTTGCGGATGGAGCCCCAGGCCCTGGCACAGGCAAATGTCTCAGGCGTTTTGTTGTTCAGACTCTGGGTTCTTTTTCTCTGTACCTTTCTGTTTTTATTCCCCTCTCCCTCCCCCCATCCCCCCAGTCATTTCCTATTGCTTTTCTCTCTCTCTCTCTCTCTCTCTTTTTCACTTTTCTTATCCTTTTACTACCCACAGCTTTCCAGGGGCCGACCACTTTCCACCTCAACCAGATATCGTCCTTTGCCAACAGCACCTGGGCACAAAACCGGGGCTCCGGCTGGCTGGGCGATTTGCAGATTCATGGCTGGGACAGCGAGTCGGGCACTGCCATTTTCCTGAAGCCTTGGTCCAAGGGCAACTTGAGTGATGAGGAGGTGACTGAGCTGGTGGAGATCTTCCGAGTCTATTTGATCGGATTCATCCGGTTCATACGGGATCACCTCAGTGAATTCCAGCAGACATGTGAGTGCTGTTCTCTGGAGAGATTACCAGTGATTTCTCTCTCTCTCTTGTTTAGGCACCACACCCCCGGATCTTTCTCTCCTTCTCCCCAGTTTATCCAACTTCTCTAGACTTGTCTTCCACTAGACTCCATATTTCTACAAACTATTGCAGCTCCTTCCTGTTTCCCGCACCCTTGTCTGATAACGATCCCCCTTTGGAACCATCATCTGGTTTGTTTATGTTTACTTGTTCTGTTGAACCCCACACAAGAAGCCCTCAGCTTGTCTACTCTGGGCCTGAGAATACTAACGTGTGAGTTCCTTCTTTCTTCAATCCATCCCCTCAAGCATTTCCTTCCTGCCGGATCCCTCCTCTCAATGTAATGCTCCCATTCCTTCTGGAACGTTGTGCCCAGACTTCATCACCCTGCTCCTCACAGTTCCCCTCTCTCCTCTCCCCTCCCTTCCATATCTCATTACAGCATCCCTTCTCCACTGTTTGTGACATGTGTACTTCTCCCCTATGCTCTTCCTTCTGAGAAGTCTATGAATACAGTCAGACTCCACTTAACAACGGGAATAGGTTCTGAGAAATGCATTAGGTTCTTAACAATGCCTAGGTTCTGACAATTTCATGTGCAAACATCATAGACTCCATTCACACAAACCTAGATGGGATAGCCCACCACACACTAGGCTATATGGTATATGCTGCTGTCTCTAGGCTACAATTATGTACACTACATTACTGTACAGAAAACATGAGATTACACCAAGCAGTAGAGAAAATGATGCAACCAAGAGATGCAGTAAACATAAGACGTATGAGGCTACTGCTGGTATAACATGGCATACTGTGTTATAGCAGACTTTTTTTTTCTTATAAAGAGAAAAAGCACACTCTAAAATAACAATCAATAGTATAGTAAATACAGGAACCAGTAACATTTATAGTTATCAAGTATTATGTGCTGTACATATTGTGTTGCTATACTGTTACAGAAATGGCAACACAGTCTGTGTAAAACACATGAGTAATGCATTGTGCTAGGATGGTATGATGGCTCTGATGTCACTAGGCAATAGGAAATTTTCAGCTCCAATATAGTCTTACTAGTGGCCTGGTGCAACAAAATTCATGCACGGAGTGGAGGGGGTGTATGTCCTTCAGCCCAGCCTGCACCCTCTCGCAATCTGGTATCGTTGGATCCTAACAGCTCACCTGCCTGCCTGCCTGATCACCCCCAACCACTTTTCATGCTAGCCTGCTTGCCCCCAAATGCCCCCCCGCACTGGCCTGATTGTCCCCAACTGCTCCCCCCTTGCTGGACTGTTTACCCCCAACTCGTCCCACCTGCCTCCCCGCTCACTCCCAACTCCCCCCTCACCTGTTCACCCCCAACTAGCCCTCCCCTCTTGGTCTGATCACCCCTAACCACCTCTGCCTTGGCCCCGCCATCATGGCTTTGTCTGAAAGGACGTTTGGAAGATCTCCCAGAAGGTCTCCTGGTCTAATTAGCATATTACCGCTCTATTAGAATTGATGGGACCACCCTCATATATGTGGTTCGTTGTTGGCTGGAAAGTGGTTATGCTGCATAGGACTGTCCTGAATTGGTTGTTGGCTCATCATCTTACACCTTGGACCTTTCTCCCCACCCATATGAAACACTATAGGCCCTTTCTCCATCCCTTTCCTTCTTGTGAGCTTATAAATGGATTTTCCTCTGGTTTTCTCCTCTCCAGATCCCTTTGAGATCCAGGGCACAGCCGGCTGCGAACTGCACGTGGGCAAGGCCACGGTCGGCTTCCTGCGGGGAGCACTAGGGGGAGTGGACTTCATGAGCCTCCGGAATGGGACATGTGTGCCTGCTGCGGAGGCCGGCAGCCGCGCCCGGTGGTTCTGCACGCTTTACACGCAGTACCAAGGCATCTCTGACATCATCGGGAATCTCCTCTATCGTACCTGCCCCCGGTATCTCTGGAGTGTCCTGGAAGCAGGGAAGGCAGAGCTGCAAAGGCAAGGTTAGTCCTCTCTCTCCAGGTTACCTGTCCCACCACCGCTCTACCTGCCAGTAGGAGGTAGGAGACAGGGGCTTACTCAGTAAATTATTTGGTTTCCTGAGGAACAGAAGGGGTTGCTGTCCAAACTGGTGGGTTTCGGAGTCCCTATGTTCTAGATGAGAGTCATAATCTGACACTGTCCCTGCTCCTTCCTGCCCCAGTGAAGCCTGAGGCCTGGCTGTCCAGTGGCCCACCTCCTGGCCCTGGCCGTCTGCGGCTGGTGTGCCACGTCTCAGGATTCTACCCCAAAGAGAGAGAGAGAGAGAGAGAGAGAGTGTTGGGGCCCGGGGGGGCGGGGGTGGAAAACACAGAGAGAGAGAGGCCTGTGGCAGTGGTTTTCAACTGGTGTGCCATGGCAATTTGTAAAACATGCAACACCTGACCATATAGTCAGGGGCTGTGACTTCTTTTCCCAGACTGTCAAAAAGAAAATGACCACAGCTACCCTGGCTGGCATGATTCAGAGGTTAAGGCATCTGCCAATGCACTGAAGGGTCACAGGTGTGATTCCTGGTCAAGGGCATATACCCTTACAGGTTCGTCCCAGGCCCTCTCTCTCCCTCCCGCCCCTCAGGTGAAGGAGGCAACAGATCCATGTGTCTCTCTCACATCATTGTTTCTCTCTCTCCTCCCTCCCTTCCATTTTCTTTAAAAATCAATGGAAAAAATATCCTCAGGTGAGGATTAATAAAAAAAAAATGACAATAGCCAACACAACAATAGATGTCTAGTGTGAGTGAATGAATGAAAATTATACCTATTTTGGGGGGTCAAATTGGCAAAAAATATATTTTTGGGGGTGCTGCATAATTTTAGCAATTAGTTTCTGTGTGCCACGAGATGAAAAAGATAGAAAATTGCTGACCCAGGGTGTAAAATAGGTAAGAATGATGGACCTATATAGTATTGGGTACAGTGGGGCAAGAAAAAGACATGGAAGATAGATATGGGCACATTTTGTCAGAAAATATGAGAGAGGGAGTTGTTCATGCCCACACATCAGAAGCAGGGGAATGCCGGTTACCCTCAGACAGCAAAGGGAGGGCCGGCGAATCAAAGGATGGGTTTGGAAGTGACATCTTTGTTTTTTTTCCCGTTTCCAGGAAATTCAACCTCCCTCACTGTGATATTTTTGGCAGTGATATTGCCCACCTTGACTCTTTTGATATGTCTTACTTTATGGTTTTGGAGGCGCTGGTAAGTTTTTTTTAAAAAAAAAATCTTTCTTTTATGTCACCCTCCCATTCTTTCATACCAATTTTATCTACACTAATAAAAGACAAAGATGCTAATATACCGTACCTTCACCACGCCCACCAGCCAATCAGAAGAGTATGCAAATTAACTCAACAAAGATGCACATTAAATTTGCATACTGCAGGCAGGGTGGGACAGTGCGAGCTGCCATCTGGGCCTCCCGTGTGGGACCTGGGGCAGCGCGAGCCACCGCCTGCCCCACTGCCATTCGGGCCTCCTGTGGATAACCCAGCAGGTGGTTATCCCCCGAGGGGTCCCAGTCTGTGAGAGGGCACAGGCTGGGCTGAGGGACCCCTCTCCCCCGAGTGCACAAATTTTTGTGCACCAGGCCTCTAGTCTACTTATATTACATTAGCCTCAATCTTTCCACAAGACTTTTTGCACTTTCTCCCAAATTCCCATCTATTTTAATGTAAATCTATTTTTTAATTATGGTAAAATATACATGACACAAAACTTATTATCTTAGTTACTTTTAAATGCATAGTTTAGTAATAATAATTACCCTCCCATTTTTGTGTCACCAATTTCTAGAACTCTTTTTCATCTAGATAAACTAAAACTTTACACCATTTGAACATCTTGGTATCTCCTGGCCCTCTAGACCCAGACTCCCAACTTTCTATTTTTTTTGTCTATATAAATTTGACTACTTTAGACACCTCATATAAGAGGAATCATGAATATTGGTCTTTTTATGACTGGCTTATTTCTTTTAGCATAATGTACTCATGATTCATCCGGGTTGTAGCATGTGTCAGAATTTCTTTCCTTTTTAGGGAAGGCTGAATAATATTCCACTGCATTTATATAACATGTTTGTTTATCCATTTAATGGACACTTGGGTTGATTCTACCTCTTTGTGAGATACATCATAATTTATACACTAACAGAAAAATCATTAAGAACTCTGAATTTATTATATGATAGTATCAATAGTAGGCTCCATCCAGGTTTAATAAATGTGAGATGTGAGAAAGGATGTATCCTGGAATAAATAAAATAAAGTACAGATGGTCCTCGACTTACATTTTGTTTTTGTTTTTTACTTTCTAGTGTAGAAAGCAATTAACAGTTAGTAGAAATAGTACTTGAATTTTGCTTTTTTTCCCCCTGAGCTAGTAATATGTGTATGATATTCTCTTTTGACATGGGGCAGTGGCAGTGAGCCTAGCTCCCAGTCAGCCACAAGATCAGGAGGATAAATAACCAATACTCTACAATGTGTTTATTGTGCTACCCGTGGTCAGCAAACTGCGGCTCTCGAGCCACATGCGGCTCTTTGGCACCTTGAGTGTGGCTCTTCTTAAGCCTCAGGAGTACCCTAATGAAGTTAATAACAATGTACCTACCTATATAGTTTAAGTTTAAACAATTTGGCTCTCAAAAGAAATTTCAATTGTTGTACTGTTGATATTTGGCTCTGTTGACTA